ACCTGGCGTCTGGAAACCAAGGCGATATAATAAATCCGGACACCTGTGAGCCACTTGACATCAAGGCGGCTCTCTTGGTGCCGTTTTTTGAGCAGGTGGGGGCAGCTATAAAGTAAACTTCGAGGATACTGCGCCGCCTGCTGTGTTTCGGAAAACTTCGCCGAACTAATGAGTAAGCTTTCAACCGGAGTCGCTGAACCTTGGGAAGTGACAATTCCGCAGCAGTTCCGTTCTCCAGAGGACCCAATAACGATACCTTGAATGAAATGGTATCGCAACAGAGTCAGTTATGCTACCTTACGGCCCAGAATTCGTGCAACATTCCGAGATTTGCGAAAGATTGATACTCACTCGCTAATCGGCATCGAGTGAGGTTGTAATATTGATTACCGTGCAACCTGTTCTCAAGTGATTTCTGTCACGATAGAATGCCGGCTTTTTAATGAGCTTCTTTCTGACGGCTAACAAAAAGCATCTATTGTAAAAATTACTCCATAAGTAGCATACATTTTTATCATTGATTCCGGCTGCCTTTATAAATTGAAATATATTTTAATGAAAAAAATACACGAAAAATTTATTTCTTGTACTCGTTTGGTAGCAAATTACGCCTTCTCTCAATTTTATACTTAAAGCAAATGCGGGTATCTATAAATCGCCAGAATAGGGCTTGCGGTGTGCGATGTGAACGCAAACGGCGGATATAATATAAAACTTTAGGGATTTTAATAAAAAGACCTTCTACCTGAAGAGTAAATGAAGGGTTAGATGCTGAAGTAACACCAAGATTCCGGAACGAGGATACCACATTGGGCAGAATGTCAATGGATATAGGACTGAGAGAGCGTCGCAATCAAAAAACACACCGGACTGACTTCTGGTCGTTTAGCAGGAGGCCATTTGCTGGCGACAATGCTGAGACTTGCTCCAGGCCATCTTTCAGTACTTGGCCGTGTATCTGACTTTTGTGAGGACATCATTGGCATATTGAACATACAAACATTCTAGTTGACCCAGC